AGCAAAAAAAAAAAAAAATGTTAATCAATCCTTTAGCACAGACGTTTTCAAATTTGTTGATGCCAAATAAACTTTTTGATGCCAAAATGGACCAACAAATAAAATAATTCACTTGGTAGGGACCCCCTTACTAAAATTTGAAAGCACCTCAGGAAAAAAATACAACACAACTGCACTTTTTTTTTTTAATTATGTATATGGAGATGAACAAAGGGGAAAAAAATATATATTTTTATATTATTCTTATTCTTATTTTTATTATTATTATCATTTGCATTTTATTACTTACTACTACTACTAATAATAATAATATGTGTGTATATATATATATATATATATATATATATATATATATATCTGTGCTGCGATTATGATAAATTATGATTTTTATTTTACAAATAAACTATTATTATTTGAATTCTATTTTACATATAACTTTTAATACGTACAAACAGTACGGTTTTATTCATATTATTATTATTATTATTAATAATAATAATAATAATAATAATAATAATAATAACAATGCAACATAGTAAATTGGCACACCGATTGGTCAGCTAATATGAGTTCATAAGTGTGTGTATATAGCTTTTTACAACAGGTTTGAACATGGCTCATCTGTCAGAACTATCAGAATTCTTAACCTTATTCTCATCTTTACCTTCACTGGTCTTACGCAAACGTACGGTGCCTTCCAAGTCTTGATGTAGTGGAGTGTTATTTAATACTACTGGAGTATTATGAGCTCATGTAGTATTACTGTTAGAATAGCTGTGCGGTGTTTAGGCTTATGTGGTATTAACTCAAATCTGTGTACACAAAAAACTTGTGAACACTCCCCCTATATCAAATGTTTCACAATTGATTCATACAAACAGTACCATGTTTATGAAAACAAATTTTTTTTTAATCATTTATATAACTGTAAATTTACGCCATAAAGTCTGGTCCACACTCGAGCTCATTTTGGCCACTTAGATAGGAAGCGACAAACCAGCATTTTCATTCTCAAAACCAACCAGTTAAGATTTAAGCTTACAATTTTGAGAAAGCTCTTGGTACTTTTGTGCAGACAGCCAGCAAACGATCTGGGCCTTATGGCGCTTTTCCACTGCATGGTACGGCATGTAGTTTTTTCAGCACCACCTCGGCTGAGGTTCCAAGCGAGCCGTACCGTTACCAAAATGTGACGTGTAAACCCTGCTGATCACTGATTTGCCAGAGAGAATAGTCACTAATGGGCGTCATTGAACTTGCGACACGTGACACTAGACCCGCTAGATTAAATCAGCACAGCCAGCGAGGATAGAACGCAACTTTTTTTGAACGAATGCAACAGTTTCGAACGAGCGCACCTTTTTTTAAACAACAAAAGAATGGCTGTTTCGTGGTCTGTTGAGGAAGCACAGACGTTCCTCTCGTTGATAGCCAAGGAGCGGATCCAGCGAGAGCTTAATGGATTGACGCGGAAAGAAAAAGTTTTTCAGGAGGTCACGGCAGTAGAGGCGGCACAACTATAACGACATGTCTATAATCCTGCCCACTCTAAAGCGGTACTATACTCCAGTGAAAACGCAAACTGAGCTGAGCCGAACCGTACCATGCAGTGGAAAAGCGCCATTAGACTACATGTCTATTTAGCAGATGCCTATGGTACTCTATTTCTGAATACAGTTCTCTGAGACCCCTGGGGTCGGTATTTTGCTTCAGGCACAATGGTGATTGATCAGAAACAGGATCTCATTACCACTTCAGTTCCTGGGTCACACTTAATTGGGATTGAACTTAAAACCTTTGTGTTAATGGCCCAGAACCATTAAGCACCCCAACAAGGACCAATGTCAGTGTTGACTGATGGGAATGTTTCAGGCATGTTGGGAGTTTAAATGTGTATGATCACTTACTGGTGTCTTGTGTGTGTGTGTGTGTGTGTGTGTGTGTGTAACACTGGGAACAAGGTTGTTTTGGCCATGGACTGGATTGCACCGTTGCCAGGGACGAGTGAGTGCTTAGTTTATGCTGCCAAAATTCTCCCTGGCAGTAAAGGGGCTTCAGTTCACTCATTTTTTTCTGGTTCCTCTTTTCTTTTCTCTCTAAAAAAAAAAACATGCCAGCAGTCTCAGCTTGCTTTAGCCGCACACACACACACACACACACACACACACAAGACACACAAAGGTCCCCAGCTGATTCTTTCTGTCAGTCCTCTCTGCCTGTTTGTGTGTGTGTGTGTGTGCTTCTGTGCCCAGTCAAGGACAGTGATGTGTGCGGATGCATACTGTGCACATACTCGTTTTTATTTTTCTGATGAAGGTCAGAGCTTTTTGGCCGATCTGTTTTAGAGGCCTCAAAATGTATCATTTTGTGGTTGTCAGACTTTAGTGGAACATGTCCATTAAGTGTTACGTATGTAATTTCTAAAGTCTAAATTGAGTTTTCCGTCTGAATTGAATGTTTGGTAAAATCAGTGTTATTTGAGTAATATTTATATACTATTATAGTATTTATTCATATTTTAAATATGCTTTTATTTTTATATTTTCGGTATTTTAATTTTAGTAATTTTATGTGCTTTGTCATTTTTATTAGTTTTTTTTTTTCAGTTTAGTGTTAGTGATTTTTAATAGTTAATTTCAGTTATTTGTCATGCAACATTTCTACATTTTAAGCTTTTCATCTAATATTTAGATTTGATTTAATTTCAGATTTACTTCAATTAATTAAATTTTGATAGTTTTATTTTTCGTCTTCGTTTTAGTTAACAATAGAAACACTTTTTAGTAAAAAAAAATTAAACAGTGTAATGCAAAATAATAGCAATTATAACAAAGCTTCGCATTAGGTTGTCCTGGGCTGCACAGAAATACATTACGTGACCAGTGTAGTCTGATTCATAATTCACAAGACTCTTATGAGCAGGTTTTTTTTAAAGATTCACACAAACACTTTATTTATTTATTGTTTCATTGCTTAAAATATATATTTATATCAATATTCTCTCACATGAATAATTGTATTATTAAAATTAAAAATAAATAAATAAATGTAACTTCAAATCAAATATGTTCTCTTTCAACAAGTACAAATGATTTGATGCTGGAGTTTTTACCTTAATCATGCTTGCAGCAACATGTGGGTCACTTGGTTTTTATGTCTAAGGAGGGGATGCTGGGTAGCCAGTGAAATCTCATTGGTCCACAGTCCCACTCCATATGGCTGTTTATTAAGCATCAAATATTAGCCTCTTTCCTCTCATTCCTTATCTTCTCTGTGGTGTAGTTTGGCAGAGATCTGTATGACAGCAGTGAGATTGTTTTCTCTCTCAGCAGGTAGTGAGCCGAAAAGAAAAAGATCAAATCCACTTGGATTATTGCATGCTTAAAATGCTTACCTCTCTCTTTCTCTTTCTCTCTGTCTCTGTCTGTTTTCCCAGGGTGCTGTTTTGTCACATTCTACACACGGAAAGCTGCCCTGGAGGCCCAGAATGCACTGCACAACATAAAGACCTTAACTGGGGTGAGTGTTTGTTTATCTGCTCATGTCTGTCTCTCTGAAGAGGTCTCTCTTCCTTTGTTAGAGGTTGTAATTCAGGAAAATGTGTGAAGTCGGGTTGAGGAGAGAGGATTATTGTGGTTTTTGTCTCAAGTCAAAGAGAGACTTTAATGAGTTTATGATTTGAGCTTTCTGACGGAGCGGGTAATGTTTGTTGTCATCAAATCAGAGCCCTTGTTCTCGAAATCCAAAACACAAAATGTCTCGGGGGAGATTTGAGCTATACACTAACGTTCAAAAATGGGGGGGTCAGTAAGAACTTTTTTTTTTTTTTTAAAGAAATGTTACGTTTATTCAGCAATGGCGCATTAAATCAAAAATAACAGTCAAGACGTTTTTATGATATAAAAAAAATATTTCAGATAAATGCTGTGCTTTTAAACATTGTTCATCAAAGAGACCTAAAAAAGTAAAAAAATAAAAAAAAGTTTTCAACAATAATAATAATATGAAATGGTTATTGAGCGGCAAATCAGCTTATTAGAATGATTTCTGAAAGATCATGCAACACTTGCATCACAAGAAGAAATCATATAAAAAAAACTATTAAAATAGAAAACAGTTATTACAGTAAATTGTGATAATTACAATTCTTTACTTTATTTTTGATTAAATAAATGCAGCCTTGGTAAGCATACGAGTGTTCTCTCAAAAACATAAAAAAAATTGTACAGACCGCAACATTTTTAACGTTAGTGTATATCATAGCACTAATATTAATATTCTGTCCGAGACCAATTAAGCCAATGATTTTTCATAGATTTTTGCGGCTAATAAACAATACATGCTGGATATTAAAATTTGACTCCAATAAATTTGACCAAATAAATTAAAAATAAAATAATGAAAACTAAAATGCATGGGTTTGTAATTCTACAAGTGATTTAAAGTATTGGAACATCATAATATGCAATACAAGAAAATGAATTGAGATTTGATTAACATCATTTAACAGTGTTATTAAATGATTAGCATTTTTTTAAATTAAATATCGCAAATATAGGACAGTAACCAATATAGTACCGTATATATGTAATATTTTACTACAAATTTCTCCATATCACTTGGATTTGAACCACCCGAAACATGTTTGTGTACTTGTGTACAGCAGTGTTAATTTCGTCGAAGACGAGGACGAAAAATATTCGTTAACGAACATTTTTTCTGTGACTAAGACGAGACGTTGACGAGTTAAAACTAATATCTGATGATAAAAACTATGACGAAATTTATGCCGCGTCTTCGTTAACAAGACGAGACAGGACTATAATGTTATTTGAGGACTACCGGACATTCAAAATACATCCTATAGGTTACTGTCTTGTCCTTCAAAATGTGCGTCCCTGTCATTGGATGGCAATCGGATAAGGGGCGTTTGCATATCTAGTCTCAGTATGGTAGCCGCAGTGGATGGATAGACTACCAAAACGCGAACTAGCGATCTGAAACAATGGCCTCAGCACCCGAAGGGGTAGGGATAAGGTGACCAGACGTCCCGTATTTCCCGGGAGTCACAATTCGTTGTCGATTAACTTAAAGTGTCTATCGTGTAGAGTATCTCACGTAAATACAGTCGGTTATGGATTAAGTGAAACAGGTGGGTGAAAACTGAATGCGTGTCAGTATTACATGCATGCCTTCCGTCTTAAAGGGACAGCATTCCTAATTAAGTACCTATACGTGTCATTAATGTTAACCAACAAAAGATGTTAAATAAATGTACAAATGTTAAGTAAATCTACTGTATCTGAAAAAGTTTAATTTGTATCTCTTTCGTATTTGTCTTATTTTATTCTGCTTCTTTTTCAAAAATTATATTATATATGAACAACTATCATTTTTATAAGTTGCTCCCTTTTCACTACTGTTAAAGGGATAGTTTACCCAAAAATGAAAATTGTCATCATTTATTCAAGTTTTTCCAAATTCAATCCTTGATTCAAATTTCTCATAAGCTTAATTGATTTGGTCTAAAGAGAGAAGAATTAAT